ACAGTAAAATTTGGTATTTACGGAAGTCAAAAAAAAAAAAAAAAAAAATTATTTCCATCAACTCTGAATGTCAATGTAAGATGTTTTTATACCCTACGCGAGTATAATTTATTTATGAGATAGCGGTCTTACGTTAGTACGCATACCTACTGCCAAGTTCAATGAAAATGGGCCAAGATCAGCCCAACAAATGATCCATCGACTGACGAACGACTGTTTAATAAATTTTATCTCCCGGACCGGAAGTTAGAACCTCGATTACTTATCAATTAAAAACAAGTATGTTTTATCATTATTATTTATGATACACGTATGGATAAATAAATAAATAATAATGATAATATGTTTTGTTCTTGAATTTACATATAATGTTTGTAGAATGTCTGGATAATATTAGTGTCCAAGTGGTAGCCACTGTAGATAGTAATTTTCAAAAATATTTTCCATGATTTGTGAAAAATCCACACAGCTGAGTACCTACTCGTATAGTGAAAATTTAAAGATTTTGACTTGTTAGGGCTACTTTCGCGTGTTGGCTAAAGAAAAAATCGAAAAAACATTTCAAACGAAAGATCTTCAAAATGTATTATTTCATGGTGATGGAAAATAAAGCAACCTCAGACACGTTATAACGATAACATATTGATACTGTGAACCATAGGCTCTGCTGATTCACGTTGTCAATACCTCATGAGGCAACTGATTGATTGACGAGCGTCGGTCTGATTGATATCTCAATGTGCATTGTAGCGGGTGCCAAAAACCGTCGACCGTCAAAATAAAAAGCGTATACGGGTTGGCTCATCTTTGTGTTTCGTTGTCACTCCCGATCTGATACTCCTTTCAGTCCGCCGCGATCACTCGCGGTGTCCGATTGCCGATGGTCCCCCCCTTTTTTTCCCACTTCAATCTCTTTCCTTCCCGCAGTCTTCGATAAATTATTTGATTTTTTTTTTCTCTTGAACAACGTGATGTTTTGGTATTAAGTTTTTTTTTTTTTTTTTTTTGTTTTTTTTTTCCTGTGAGCCCTAGCTGTGTGCATGTAACTTTGAAATGTCCCTAACGTGACTTTTGAGTGAAGTCAAGAGGTGTCATTAGAACAAATTGTTTGTTGAATCATCTCCCCGCAAAATATAGGTAATTATAAGTGTTTTTGATCAAGTGCAATTTTATTTTATGTTTTTCAAATATTACAAAGAAACGTTATAAAAATACAATTGTCTTGTATAAAAGTAACAATGGCACGTGATTATATTTTAACTTTTTAACTGAACACCAGAAGCGTAGGTGAAATTAAGAAAAATGGCTGACAAAGCTAAAAAGCCAGAACCCAAGAAGGAAGGTAAAAAAGAGGAGCCACCGAAAGAGGAACCAAAAAAAGAGGAACCAAAAAGTGAAGAGCCGAAAAAGGAAGAGCCGAAAAAAGATGAAGAACCAAAGGAACTCATGCCAAAGGAGGAAGATCTACCCCCGAGAGAACTGACTCTGGTACAAATTGTTTTTGATTGATTAATTCAATTTTTGTCTTTGAAAAAAAAAAAAAAAAAAAAAAAAAAAACTTTCAGACCGACAAAATCTTGGAGCTCTACGAGCACATGAGCCAAAATCCAAGCCTCGTGTCTGCTCGAATAATTTCCATAGCCAGAAACGGTATAACTGTACAAAGCGTGTGGTCCCAGAGGAATCTGCAAAGAAAGATGAAACAGAAGTTTACCCAGGACTTCAGTTTGGACGCGGAGATGCAGCCGCTTCTCGAAAGTTTTCCCGTGGATGTGACCACCGAGTAAGTTGACGTTTTTTTTACAATCTCCCATTCGTGGTGCACGTCTGATGATTTATGTTGGTAACGTGTGTTGGCCGAAGGTTGTTGACAGCCTCCTCGGAAAACGAAAGATTGAAAGCCATTTTGAGGGAAGTCGTGGCGGATGGGAAGAAAAAACACTTTATCGAAATTTGGGACAGGCAACACCTCACCAAATCGTACGACCTGTCCGTCTACGATTTTCATGGGGAAATTTACACCGACAGTAAGACTTTTATTGTTTAACGTAAGAAATACAACTGATGGCTTTCAATTTTATTTTTTATTTTTTATTTTTTTTCTTCCCCCCCCCCCCCACCAAGATGTGTTCAGTTCGTTTCAATTTTCGCCCGACAATAAAAAGCTGATGTATATCGCTGAGAAAAAATTGAGAAAAGTCGAGCCGTTCTACAAACAAAAGCCCAAGTACAGATATGCAGTACAAGAGTCCGAGGAGGATCCCCCGCTTAGGGTAAGATATTTTTTTTCTTTTTTTTTTTTCTTCATCATTCGTCATTGAACACGTATTTTTGTCGGCCTCAGGGTGGCGAGTACGAGTACAAGCCCGACTGGGGCGAGCAATTGGAGGGCAAGCACCGATCCGTCATTGTGCTGCTGAACCTTGAAACCGACAGTTTCTTTCCACTGCCCTTCGTACCGGACGAGTATTTTCCCGCCGAAGTCATTTGGACGCCCAACGGGCAATGCATAGTCGGCGTTGCTTACAAACTGTACAAAAGATATCTGGGCCGTTACGGCTGCAGCAACCGGGAATCTTACATTTTCATACTCAAGGGAACGGAGTTTCGTAAGGATACATTTTTTTTTTTTTTTTTTTTTGTCTTATCAATTGGTAGTGCCAAGAGGGAAACAAAGTCAAATTATTAATTGAAATGTCATGAAATGGTAACGGAAATCTCCTGAAGTGAGAATTAAAATATNAAAAAAATTTTTGTTGTACTAGGAATTGTATTTTTGTAACCCTCGATTGTTTGTATCGATGTAAAAAAATATTTGCAGGTGTCCTGCCAATACCGGTTGTCAATTCCTGGAAAAATTGCCACCCGCAACGTCCGAATCAAAGTACATTGAAATAGTTCTAAAAATGTTCGATCGCTCGCCCGTTCGTCACGCAGAGAAGGTCAAGGCGCCGACCATGATTGCCGTTGGCACGAGAGATCTAAGGAGTCCCGCTTCTCAAGGGAAATTGTGGTACAATCGATTGGTCGCTAACAATGTCACAGCTAAGTAAGTCTTTTTTTTTGTTTTTCATCGACAAATATTAACATGAATTTATAATTTTTGTTATCGACAAAAAAAAAACAACTATTTGTGATGTAATTACATGACTATTATCTGTTTAGGCTGTTTATTTACCATGACAATCATACGCTAGCTTCCGATGTCGTCGAAATCGACTTTGTCCTGAACGCCGCTCTGTGGCTTTTGGAGCACACTGGGGATTATTTAAAAATAGAAAGATCTCCCTCCATCATAGCAGAAGAAGTTCCAAAGGATGGAGCCAAGAAAGAAGAATAACTTTGATAGACAGAAAGAAGCTGTCAAATTTGTGGTGGCACTAATTTTTTACGCTTATGATCCTGATACTAATAAACCCTATCAATTGGTAGTGCCAAGAGGGAAACAAAGTCAAATTATTAATTGAAATGTCATGAAATGGTAACGGAAATCTCCTGAAGTGAGAATTAAAATATACGCCAGCCAATTGATGTTCATTTGTACTTTATTTGTAAAAAGATGAATATGTTGAAAAAAACCACCCATTTGTTTTAAAAGGATTGCAGAGAGTTTTTGTTTTCTGACAAGACTGTCGTCAACAGTAAATGGTATAACCAGCCCTTTAACTAATTATTTCTATTTTCTTGGCATATAGTATCATTTTGTCAAATATTATGTAAAATTACACAGTAGCAAGATACTCGCGATACCAAAAAAATACGGTTTTTAAATAATTAAAAAATCTCTTATTATTTTTACCCCTTTGCTTGAAAGTAAAAATGGCCCTTTGAGAAAAAAGAAGCGTATCAAACGATATCTGCATGTTAAAGGCTTGCTGACTGGGCCCGGCCAAGCTTGTAAAACGCCCCAATTCAGTCCCAACGGAAAACACCTTATATGGCTGGAACGGGATATTGGAAAACCACATCACAACGTCCAGAGGCTTATGCGGATAAAATGGGATGTCGTGGAGACTGTACGGAAACATAAAATTAATTTTATAAAATATGTAATTGTTTTTTTTTTTTTTTTTTTTTAAAGTCATTTACCATCGTTTTGTCACATTTTTCACAGCCCGACATTGTCGTCGACGTCGTAAAAACTAGCATGACAATAGCCAATGACAAAGTATTTTACGGATTTTACGGCCAAAGTATCCCAAAGCGCTGCTGGAGCAACGATTCCGAGCACCTGTTTCTCAGTACGCCCCAAAGGTCCAGCATAAAGTCGTACGTCGTCAACTTGGAGACAAAAGTCGTCACCGAGATAGACAACCCCGACGGAAGTAGCCTGAGCATTTTGGACGTCAGAAGGAACCGCGTCGTTTTCACGAGGTTCTCCAACATCCAGCCACCCCAGTTGGTGGTCGGCAAATTCGACCCCGCCTCGGAAAACATCGGAAACCTGCATCTGTACAACTGTACGAAGCCCTTGGACGTTCCGAAGGCGGAGAGTCTCATGTACGAGCACACGGATTTCATTTACAAAACCGACGAACCCGTCAGTAAGAACTCTTTTTTTTTTTTTTTTTTTTTTTTTTTTTTTTTTTTTTTTTTAAGATAAAATGTGTATACAGAATGACCAAAATGTTAATTGATTTTTTAAAGGTTTCGCCGTGTTGCAAGTAAATTATCGTGGTTCCACTGGTATGGGTTCGGACAACATTGAATTTCTCAGTGGCAGAATAGGGGAAACTGATGTCGTCGACTGCACAACAGCGATCGATCTTGCCCTGAAAAAGTACCCTCACCTTGATCCAAAAAAAGTTTGTCTGTACGGCAGTTGTCACGGGGCGTACTTGTGTGCCCACCTCAGTGGACAATATCCCGTAAGAGCAATCATTATTTGTCACCGAAATTCGGATAAAAGTTTTACAAGTATTTTTTTTTTTTTTTTTTCACAGGCCATGTTTCGAGCAGTTGTCATGAGAGCTCCTATTATTGATATACAAACAATGTTCAACCAAACAGATATTCCAGATTGGTAAGGCCAATACAATATTTTCATCGCATTGAAAATGTTTGCTACGTTTTTGCCACAAGATAATTTATTTACGTCTTGTCGACGTACCAAAAAACTTTTCAAAATTTTTGTTTTTTTATACAACTGTACAAAACTAAGTAAATTAAAAATAATTTTTTTTTCCTTGGTAAAACGTCTTGTAAATATCGAACGCACGAATATCACCACGCACAAGATCAATTACTGTATGGTGGTTCTTATTATTATCTAACTAAACAAAATCATATCCAATAACATTAAATATTTCACAATATAAATAGCGTAATAATTGTAACAATGGCACGTGATTATATTTTAACTTTTTAACTGAACACCAGAAGCGTAGGTGAAATTAAGAAAAATGGCTGACAAAGCTAAAAAGCCAGAACCCAAGAAGGAAGGTAAAAAAGAGGAGCCACCGAAAGAGGAACCAAAAAAAGAGGAACCAAAAAGTGAAGAGCCGAAAAAGGAAGAGCCGAAAAAAGATGAAGAACCAAAGGAACTCATGCCAAAGGAGGAAGATCTACCCCCGAGAGAACTGACTCTGGTACAAATTGTTTTTGATTGATTAATTCAATTTTTGTCTTTGAAAAAAAAAAAAAAAAAAAAAAAAAAAAAAAAAAA